TTCAGGATGTCATAGTCAGGGTATTCTGTATTCGTCAGTGAGTCGTCTTTGTTCCTTAAGACCATCACTGAAGTTGTATAGTTCTTTCAACAAACATGATAAACTTCTTCAGATACTTTTTTTTTCCTTTGGCAGGAAGGTGTCTTGCTGCAGGTAACTAATGAAGAAGTGGTCAACCACAGAATCTTCAAGAATAAGAAATTCTGTACCATCTGAAAGTAGTTCTTGTTGGTGCCTTCATATTTAAAAAGCACTAAGATTAAAGGGGAAATGTTTTCTGATAACATACGAGCTTCATTTAGCACAGGTTCTTAATATAAAACGACTACAAATTGAGTATTGTTTGTATAACAGTGACAAAAGGTCAGTTAGAGAAATGTATCATGTTTAAAATTCAGGTTTTGTGAGTAGACAGATAAAAATTCTATTTTAAATACAAAGTTTATAAAATAAAACACTTTTGTATCTAAGTACTTGGTGTAATGTTTACACATAAAATGTGTGAATGTTGTTCTATAAGCATTTCAGTTGTCTAAAAGGTTGCCGTTCCCTAAATTTTTAAAGCAATTTACAAATCTATGCTTATTGCCTTCCCCCACCTCCTAATATTAATGAGAAAAGCATTGTGGACACTACTTTACTGTCCCTAATAAAACGCCATTCCTTATATCTCTACTGTATATTCAGCGTTTGAATGCTGCTGTGCTTTTCTGGCTTTACCCCCTTGTATGTTTAACGTTGCTGGTGGAATTGTTTAAACCTGTGGATTTTAACCAGCTTGTTACGTGCCTTCAAGTCAGTCCAACTCATAGTGACCCTGTATAGGTTTTCCAAAAAAGCATCTGGTGGATTTGAACTGCCAACCTTGCAGTTTGAACTGACATTGTGTGCCACTGCATTATCCCACAGTGCCACACCGGGACTCTTAGCCAACTAGAGCAGTCCAAATTAACTGGCTTATGGAAAAGACTTGAGGCAAAATACCAACTTTCAGTTCTCCGTTTTACACTTAAGTGAATACATACTAAGTGTGGTTACTTTTCTGTTGTTTTTTTTAGAGGATTAAAGTTAGAAAAACTATAGGTAGTGCCTCTTTTTATTTGGATGTTTACTTGAGTTTATGAAGGAAACCAGAAAAATATCAAATTAGCAGTGAGGTTAACTGACATTTGTCTTGTTTTCTTGATCTAGTTAGTTAGCAGAAAAGGTAAGTCAAACTGAAGATGAAAATAAGCTAGTATGAGTTTTTTGTTTGTTTTTTTCCCTAGTTGAAACAGCTGCTTTTGCCATAAAATACAAACTTGGGCTAATTTGTTCAGGGGAAAGATTTTTGAAGGTTTTTCAAAAAAATGCTTCTCTATGAAGAAGCTTAGCTAGTAAATCAGGTGGGTATATATAAACAGCACATGTAAATACTAAGTCCTATGTTTTAATGTCTAATAAGTAAAGTTAAAGGGAACATCACAAATAGGGGGACATGCAAAGTGGCAAAATGAACTATCATGCTAAACCTTAGTAGCTTACCCCCAACCCCCCAAGTGTGTTGTGCTACTTAATTCAGTAAATTTAACTTTGGGATCCGTCCTAAGAATATCACATCAGAAGAGAGTGCCTATCCACTGCATTGCAAATCACATTAACAGATTAGTATATACCACCTGTGGATACAGTTTTGGTTCTGGCCTGGTCTCAAAGCTATATATACATAAGAAAACAGGTTGATATTTGCCTTCAATATTGCCTATTTGTGGGGCTGGTAAAGTAGTGTTGGCCATATCCAAGAGAAGACAGCAAAAAAAATACAGACATAAAATGGTCACAGTAATTCTTGAGTTTGGGCAGTGCCACTTCAGTTGCATTCCTCTGAAATAATCTTTGCACTGGGTAAGTTTTGGACTTAAGTCTAAAGTAAATTTGGGATCTTGGTATCTATAAAGAATTGTGTCAGTATTTTCACAAGGTGGGGGACGTGAATTTTGTATTATAGTAAAAATATATCCTTGAGAACAAATGTATGTTGAAGCCAAAAGATTTCATACACCTCCACATAATTGTAATGTTGCCCTCCACTATTTGTAGCTAATTTGTTTATCTGATTTACTTTGATAGTCGACTCAAGGGATACACCAAATAATTTGAAAGCAGAAAAAATGAAACCAATGACATTGGGTGTTTCTGCAGAAAGTAAATGGTTAAACCCTATGCATCTAACAGTCTGGGGCTTGAATCTATGGCACTCACCTTGACTCAACTGGAGCCACAACTCTGCTATAAACTAAATTTGGCCGTGAAATCAACCTTAATCTCTATGTCTTGAATGGGTGAACTGTTAACAAGGTTTCAAAAGGAAAAGAACAAATGAGACTAAATATGGGCTGTTTGACTGGAGTTCAAGATGTATATATAGAATGTTGTGCTTCGGATTTGTAAGACTCGGAACAGATTTGGAGTATGGCCAATTGGCTCTGGTGACTGGTGATAAATCAGGCTTTCTCTGCACTCTTAAGAGATTTACAGCCTCAGAAACGCTACATTATCACCTAATCAAAAAAATGCGTACTAGAAAAATGTACTATTGAGAAACCATGAGCTGATATACTCTGGAACATAAAAGTAGTGTAAAGGGACCTTAAGGTGTTTTTAATAAACACTATATTAGGGTGCTGTGGGACATTTGGGCTGGACCCACAGGTCAATGAACTGCCAAGGTTGATTCAAACTCAACTAGTTACTCCTTGGAAGTTCCTTATGGGGTCCTGTGAAGGTGCTTAACATACCAAGGTGAGTTTCTATTAGAACCTTCTGGTGATTTAGCTACAGCATGTAAGTTTTTTTAAAAATGCTGATGGCAAGTCCTGCAGTAAAAGAAACGACAGGGTTGCTGTGAGTTGAAATCAACTTGATGGCCATGGGTTTTATATGATCTTAAGCTGTGATTACATGACTTTTTTTTGTTTCCCTTTATTTTTTCTGTAATTTCATAATTGTGGTTAATGCATCAGCTAACAGACAAGTTGCTAGCACAAGTTAGTATTTAGGACAAGAGTCTTGTACATGATACCCATCCCAATGGTTTGACCTTTAACCACCAGCCTTGTGGCTCAAACATTGAGTCAGGTGCTTATCCTTTGGATAAGGAGTTGGGAGGGACCATAGGGGAAAAATTAGAAAACATGTGGTGAAGCTGTGTTAGAAATAGGAACACTGTAATGTATAAAAAGCTTCAGAGCATAGCTTTTCTATACATGTAGGTTTTTTTCCTTGTCAATAATACCTGTTCATTTCCTAGTATTATGATTATAGGATTATGGTACAGACTTGAAACTAACATGCCCTGAAATTGAGTTGGTTGGCACCTGAGATATTTTAAAAATGAACAAGTGATCACTGAACAAAATGTCAACAGTTTTCACACAATACCTCAGTCCACAAATTGACATTTACCCCCCCCAAAACAAACAAACAATGGAGATGGTGTATCATTCAGGAAGTGTGAGTTTGTTGTGGCCATTCTTGATTCTTCAGCTTCCTTATACTGGGACTGAGTAAATTTTTCTTAGCCATTGAACTGATTTGCAACTCGGGCACAGGGTGCTCTGTAGAGTTGAGACTTTATGAGTAGATAATGCCTCGTCTTCCTCAGCCACTAAGATCAACAGCTCTGCAAAACCCACTGGTTGCCATTCAGAAGCTCATTTCCCTGTGTATGAGTTGCTTCATTTTCTTTATAGTGACAAGAGGTCCACAGCCTGATCTCTGACTATATAGGTATTGACCCCCATGTATTAAAGCCTGTTGGTGCTAGGGAATCAGTTCTGACTCAGCGACCTTGTATGGCGGTTTCCAAGGAGCAGCTGGTGAACTTGAACCACTGACCTTGTGGTTCAAGCCAGCTTTGCTGTGCAGCATATTCTCAGTACCACACCATCTTGTTAAGTGCCATTGAGTCAGTTCTGATTCACAGGAAGTGACTGGTGAACTTAAACCACAAACCCAACTTGCAGTTCAGCACGTTAATCTGCAGTACCATACCAAGACTCCAGTGATACCATACGGAGTATTTTAAAACTGGTTTGCGAGCTGGCAAAGTGTTTTTGTTTGACTTCCCGAAACATTCTGTTAAGTCCTGGAGATTTCAGTGATCTGTTTGGCATATTATTGGCTATTCTAAGTCAAAGCACCATATACAAAGGGACTAAAGAAAATTTCATGGGAAATAGAAGTTCCATGAACTTTTTTGAAGCTGTCATATAAAATTTCTTAAATGATCACTATGCTGCCCTGAATGTGTGGGTACTGGTGGAAGAATGTCCAAGATGTAAGTAAACGTAAGTTTATAAAATGGAAAAGTTGACTATGAATTCAAATATAAAATTTATTTCCACAGAAAATTGTATTAGTGAAAAAAACTTTTGAAAAGCTTTCACTATATTTCAATGCTAGCAGTTAAGGCTACTTGCATTTCAAGTAAAAAAAAAACAAAAACGAATATGCTTAATTTAGACACAAGTCCTGGTGTGGCACTGCAAGTTAATGTGCTGGACTGCAAAGTCAGTTTGAACTCAAATGTCAGCGGTTCAAGATTACCAGGTGCTCCTGGGAAACACTATTCAGGCACTTAACCCAACAATTTAGATGGTTTGCTCTTTTTTTTTTTTAAAGTAACCATCTTAAGTATACAACTGGCTACAACAGTGACACATACCAGGTTCTCATGTTACCCTACTTGTGCCTATTTATGAACCTGTGTATGTGTACATTGCAGTACAAGAACTAAGTGACAACTGGCTTATTTCCCAAAAGTCTGATCCTGAAGTAGTAAACTTTTTTATCCACACAAGCTTTAAAATGGGTGATTAGTCATGCTAGATGATACAACATTTGATCTATTTTGTATATAAAATCTCAAGTCATAGAAGTTAAAACTTTGTTTAAATGGTTATGATCCAGATATAACTAGTTTCTCAGTATTTTAACTTTCCATATAATGAAACCCAGCTTCAGTTTCTTTTCTCCCGTTTTCTTTTTCCTTTTTGGTTTTCCTTTTTGTGGCCTGAGGTCACCAGTTCCTTGGGTACAATCAAAACGCTTCCATCATGGCTGCATTGAAGAGCATAATGGTTTGGATTGACAGGCCTACCTTGGTCATCTCTTAACTTCCTGAACACATCATGATAAAGATCATGTAATTTCTGTTTCATTATGTTAATAGCTTTGTTACATTGGGCTCTCTCTCTCTCCAGGGTTTCCTTTTTTGCTTGTAAGTTACACACATCTTCTTCTAGATTCAAAATGATGTCCAATTTGCGTTTACGACAGTTCTGAGCAGCAACTTTATTTTTCCCTCTTCGTCTGATATCACGGATAAGTGATACTTGTAAGTCTGTCAGATTGTACCTGCTTAGCATGTTGTTGAAGGAATCAACAGGCATGCAGACAATTTCCTCTACAGAAAAAGGAATATGCAGAGCTTTAGCACGCCGCTCATCTCGGCTTAAATTTCTATCTGTGTCATTGAGGTACCTGCTTACTCTCTGTGACATCCCAGGCCATGAAAAATATTTAGAAGTGGATTCTGCTTGCAAGTGGTAAGTGTGGTTATGAAATATGTGTTGAAATGCAACTCCATCATGAAAACCTGAATCAATTACGTGATCCCTGTGACAAATAGGCTCTGGTGAGTAGCCTCCTACAGCTCCTTCTAAGTCATGGGGAAAAGAGTCAAGATCACTACTATAACCTATAGCCCCTTCCTCATACATAGACTGAGAGGAATTGGACTTGGCGACAGATGAGCTACCCTGACTTGAATTTAAGGAAAGCCCAGAATCAGAATCTGGTTCTTCAAAAAGCTGAGATACTTCCACTGGATCAAAATCTGCTGCCAAAGACATTAAATTTATCTCATCAAATATGTTTACATCGAGGTCATATAGAAGATCTTGGCTTGTTAGATTCCTCATCTGATTGTCAACAGGTGGAAGAAATCCAGTCAAATTAGTCTGCTCAGGATTGGTAGGAAAATTTAGCTGCAAAAATGGTTCTTGTGGTTGTGAAGTCCTTTTTACTGGATCTCTTCTAAATGTATTGTTGGGACACAGCAACATGGCCTCATGGAGACTCACATCTTGGCTGATCGCCTGGCTGAAATTCATGTTATAATGTGCTGAGGAATTCATGACTTCACTGCCACTGCTGAGAAGAGGAATATCTCCCAGTGAGATGCCCTGGAAAGGTAGGAAAAAGCACATTAAGCAAGGATAAGGTGATGAACCACCTTGTGGTCCAGCACTTTAACTCACAGTGCTACACCAGGACTCCAATTAAAGTACAAGCAAAACAACATGTGATGGGAGCCCTGGGCTGCCAACTGAAAGGTCAGCAGTTCGAATCTACCTGTCTTTCTGCTGGAGAAAGAGGCTTTCTGCTCTTCTAAAAGATTTACAACCTCAGAAACCCAATACAGTAGCGCTGTGAGTCAGAACTGACTCCATGGCATACAATCATTACCACCAAACTTGGGAAAATAACTGTTTTACCTCCAGTGAATTTTCAGGCTGTGATGAAAGCAACTGAAATAAGTCTTCCAGACAAAGAGATGGGTCTGTTCCATTTAGATGTCTCTGTAGAACACACAAGATACATCATTCTTTAGATATCTCTGTAGAACCCACAAGATACATCATTTTTAGATAAAATTAATCTTTAAAGATGATCAGGTCTTAACTCCACTAGAATGTGATGCCTTTTTTTTGCTCAAAAGTTACATTCTGTTCTGCTATTATTAATGGTTCCGACTCAGCAACCCTACACAGGGTTTCCGAGGCTGTAAATCTTTACGGGAGCAGACTGCCTCATCTTTCTCCCACGGAACAGCTGGTAGTTTCGAACTGCTGACCTTGCAGCTCGCAGCCTGATTTGTAACCACTACACTACCAGAGCTCCTTGTTCTGCTATTAGTACTTTTAATATTTTAACATGCATAGGTTAGCTATTTGAAACTGCCACATGTTCCTGGGGAGAAACATGAGGCTTTCTGCTCCTGTAAAGATTTATGGCCTTAGAAACCCTATATAGGGTACCTATAAGTTGGAATCAACTCCACGGCACACCACCACCACTTAAAATTGTAAGTTATATATATCTTTCTAAACAAGTACCTTTAACTCCAAACTCCTTCACTTCTGCTCTAACCTATATAAATTTTGGAAGAACACTGGATTGTTGACTAACCACAAGGTCATTGCTTCAAACCCACCTCAGAAACCCTACACAGGGTCACTATAAGTTGGGACCAAAGAGACTGCTCTTAACAATCATTTTGTGCCTCCATGCACACGTGGAATGTACAAAGTATGAATCAAGGAAAACTGGAAACTGTCAAAAATGAAATGGAACTCAAACATCAATATCCCAGGCATCAGTGAGCTGAAATGGCCTGGCGTTGGTCATTTTTAATCTGATGATCACATGGTTTACTATGGTGGGAATGTCAAACTGAGAGAAAAGACATTGCATTCATCAAAAAGAACAAGATCTGTCTTGAAGTACAATGCTGTCTGTGATAGGATAATATCCAAACACTTAATACAACTATTACTCAAACTTACGCACTTCACTAAAGCCAGTGAAGATGAAATTGAATTCTACCAACTTCAATCTGAAATTGATCATGCAATCAAGATGTATTGACAATGACGTGACTGGAATACAAAGGTTGGAAACAGGAAGAATGAGTAGTTGGAAAATAAGGCCTTAGTGAAAGAAATGATGGTGGAGATCACATGATAGAGTTTGCATAACATGACTTCATTGCAAATACTTAACAACATAGAAGACTACAAAAATGGACCTCACCAGATGGAATACACAGAAATCAAATTGACTACATCTGTGGAAACAGACTGGAAATACTTCATGAGCCAAAACAAGGCCAGGAGCAGACAGACCACCAATTGCTCATGCAAATTCAGGATGAAGCTGAAGAAAATGAATTCAAGTCCACGATACCCAAAATATGGCCTTGAACATATCCTGTTAGAATTTAGAGATCATCTGAAGACCAGACTAGATGCATTAGACACTAAAGATCAAAGACTGGAAGAGTTGTGGGGATAGCATCAAGAACATCATAAGGGAAGAAAGCAAAAGGTCATTAAGAAGACGAAAAACCAAAATTAATTTCAGAGACTCTGAAACTTGCTCTGCAGTGTAGAGATGCTAAAGCAAATGTTAGATATGAGGAGGTAGGAGAGCTGAATAGATAATTGCAAAAGACAGCTCGAGGTAATTGCAGAAGACAAAATCAAATATTATAACGAAATATGCGAAGACTTGGTTATTAGAAATCCAAAAGGGTTTCTTCAAGCTGAGGGAACTGAAGAAAAAATTTAAGCCTCAACTTGAAATGTTGAAGGATTCAATGAGCAAAATACTGAATGCTGCAGAAATCATCAAAAGAAGATGAACGGAATACACAGAGTCATTGTACCAACAAAAAATGGTCGATGTTCAACCATTTCAAGAGGTAGCATATGATCAAAAGCCAGTGATGATCCTGAAGGAAGAAGTCCAAGGTGCACTGAAGGAATTGGCAAAGAACAAGGCTCCAGGAACTAACTGAATACAAACAAAAATTTCAACAAACTGACGAAGCACTGGAGGCACTCGCTCATCTATGCAAGAAATTAGGAGTTTCTTGCTGGCCAACTGACTGGAAGAGACCCATATCTGTGCCCATTCCAAAGAGAAGTAACTCAACAGAATTCAGAAATCATTGGACAATATCAATACTATCCCATGCAAGCAAATTTTTGCTAAAGATCATTAAAAAATGGCTGCAACCATACATTGATGGAGAACTTCCAGAATTTTAAGACAGATTCAGAAGAGAACGTGCAACATCATTGCTGACCTCAGATGGATCTTGGCTGAAAGCAGAGAATACCAGAAAGATGTTGATCTGTGCTTTATTGACTATGCAACAGCTTTTGATTGTGTAGATCATGACAAACTATAGGCTGCGTTGCAAAGAATGAGTATTCTGGAACACTTAATTTGCTCATGAGGAACCTGTACATAGACAAAGAGGCAGTTCAAACAGAACATGGGAACAGTAAGTGACTTAAAATTAGGAAAGGTGTGCACCAGCGTTGTATTCTTTCACCACACTTATTCAGTCTGTATGAAGAGCCCTGGTAGCATTACAAATCGGGCTGCTAACCTCAAGGTCGGCAGTTTGAAATTACCAGCTGTTCTGTTGGAGAAAGATGAGGCTTTCTGCTCCCATAAAGATTTGCAGCCTCGGAAACCCTGTGTAGGGTCACTATGAGTCGGAACCAACTCCACAGTACTTAACAACAACAACAACATTCAGTCTGTATGCTGAGCAAATAATCTGAGAAACTGTGGCATCAGGATAGGAGGAAGACTCACTAACAGCCTGCAGTACACGGGTGATACAACCTTGCTAGCTGAAAACAACGAGGACTTAAAATACTGATGAAGATCAAAGACCAGAGCCTTTGGTATGGGGTGCAAAAGAAAACAAAGATCCTCACCACTGGACCAATAAATAACATCACAATAAATGGAGAAAGGACTGAAGTTGCCAAAGACTTCATTTTGCTGGGATCAACCATCAACACTAAATGAAAGCAGCAGTCAATAAATCAAATGATGTATTGCATTAGGCAAATCTGCACAAGACCTCTTTAAAGTGTTAAAGAGCAAAGATGTCAGTTTGAGGACTAAGGTGCACCTGCCCCAAGCCACAGACTTTTCAATAGCCTCAAGGCATGTGAGAGTTGGGCAATGAATAAGGAAGACCACAGAATTGATGTATGTTGGAGGACATTATTTAAAGTACCATGGACTGCCAAAAGAACAAGCCAAATGTGTTGGAAGAAGTACAGCCACAGTGCTCCTAGTAAGCCAAGATGGCCAGACTTCGTCTCATACGTTGGACATATTGTCAGGAGACCAGTCCTTGCATAAGCATATCATGTTTGATTAAATGGCGGGTCAGAGAAAAAGAGGAAGACCCTCAACTAGATAGACTGGCACAGTGCAACAGTGATGGGCTCAAATGTACCAACGATTATGAGGTTGGCGCACGACAAGGCAATGTTTCGTTCTGTTATGCATAGGGTGGCTATGAATTGATACTTACTCAATGGCACCTAACAACAACATACATCCCCCTTCCCAACTGGTTATGAAATTATTTTTCACAGTTGATACGTATTTATTGTTGGGTGACATTGCATCATTTCTGACTCAGCATGTGACAGTATAATCAAATAGGTGATGGTTGGAATCTTTACAGAATCAGATCTCCAGGTATTTGCCTAGAGCTGTTGCAAGAATTTGAATGCCAACCTTTTTGCTAGCAACCCAGTGCTTGCCAACTTCATTCACCATTACTGCTTATATTTTTTTCCTGCTTCAGAGATTGGTTCCTTGTTGAAATAACTCATGAGATTTCATGTTAAGTACCACTGAGTTGGCGCCGATTCGTGGTGTCCGTTTCTATCACAGAAGGAAAATGTTGCCTAGTCTTTTCCTGTCTTTACAGTCACTCATTGTTGTAACCACTGTGTCAATCCATTTCATTGAGGCTCTCCTTTTATGCAGACCCTTTTGTGTGATGTCTGTCTCTCCTTTTGTGGATTTGTCTGTCTCCAGTGGTTAACTGTCCCTCCAATGACGAGGCTTCTTAAAACATGTCCAAAGTAAACGCGTCAGTCTCACCATTTTCACTTGTAAAGAGCCTTCTGGCTGAACTTCCTTAAGATAATTGGATCTTCTGGTAGTCCACAGTACATTTAATATTTGTAGCCAACACAATTCTTTTTCAGTCTTCACTTTTCACTGTCCAGCTTTCACATGCATGAGGACATCGAAAAGGCCATGGCTTGGGTCAGGCATACCTTTGTCATCAGTGACATCTTTGCTTTTTAACAAGAGGGTTTTGAAGCAGATTTGCCCAATGTAATAGGTCGCTTGATTTATTCATGGGTGTTTATTGTTGATCCAAGAACAAAATCCTTGACAATTTCATCTTTGTGTGTCTCAGATCTCCCTCTACCTTTTTCTTAAAAGGGTATTTGTTGATGGATTTAGGGCTCATTGTGACACCTCAGGATGATCTCACCTAGGGATCTTTAATTACACTGCCAAATACTTTTCCCCCAATAAAGTCACATTCAGAGGTTATAAGTAGACATTATCTTTTTTTTTTTTAAAGAGAGTAAGGACGCCATTCAACCCAAGGAGGAGCCCTGGTGGGCAAGAGTTACATCTTCTAACAAAAAGGTTATCGGTTTGAAGCCAGCTGCTTCATGGGAGAAAGACACTATGTCACAAGTGATCTCTATGAGTTGGAACTGACTTGACAGCTAACACCCACCATTCAATGAACTAAAGCCTGAATTTCATCTTTCTATGCTGCTTCACCACTGAATAGGGAAGCTAGACACTGAGGTGCCAAGGAGACCAGAGGTACAATATGAGCTCCTGGGGGACCCAATGGTTTATTTTAGCTTGGCCCACTAGGAGACGGAGTGAGGCCTGGGGCCAAGCCCCAGATGTTGCATGTAAGGTCCTCTGCTCTCATCTCTTGGCCTGGGTGGTGCTACACGTAGCTGGTTGAGGATTCCTGGGTTTGGGATGGCAACCATCTCATTCTTTTCCATGGCAAACAACTCACAAAACCAGTTTGCAAGTTTCTGGAGATATAACTTGAATTTAACTGGAGATAGATTGACACCTTTGTAAATCAAATAATCACTCCCACATTAAAAAAAAATTTTTTTTTCATCAAATTTGCTTATAGTAGAACACACTTACATGCATAATTCATTCTCAACACAAATTGTTAAAGCTACAACAGCTACAGTAAAGCCCACAAGGCATGAATAGACGATTCCAGTGTGCTTACCCTTGATTTGGCAGTCTTTTCCGTCTCCCAGGCAGGCTTATCTGCTTTGTTCTGTTTGTTTTTGTTATTCGGCTGTAGTGATTCTCTCAGAGTGGATACTCTGGGCTCATTTTCCTCATGCTGAGAACTGTAACCCACAGCTTCACACCTCTCTCTTAGTACCTCAATTTCCTATGAAAGTACCAGAAAAATAGGCTAACTAGAAAGTCATATTTCACCAAAGCAACAAAAATCCTTAAGATTGCACAGTACTTACTGCTCAATGATTATGAAAACCTGTAAGTCAAAAGCAACGACCAACAAGCAGTTCATTAATTCAGTACCAAACCAAACGAGAAAAACCAAAGCCACGGCTACATAGTGACCCTGTAGGACAGAGCAGAACTGCTCCTTAAGGTTTCTGAGACTGAATATTTACAGGAACAGCCAGCTTCATCTTTCTCCCGTGGAGCGGCTGGTGAGTTTGATCCACTCATCTTACATTAGCAACGCAATGATTAATCCCTCCACACATCTGAGCTCTTTATTCAGTGCCAAGGAATCATCTGATTCTGAAACAAAAGGTCAGTTTTCTGATCTGCATAATTTAAATTATATGCGTGGGTTAAGTGCCTGCCCTCAAGTCGGTTCTGACTCATAGTGACCCTGGCTAGGGTTTCTGAGGAGCAGCTGGTGAGCTTGAACCGCAAACATTGCAGTTCCAATCGACCTTGCAGTCCAACACATTAACTCACAGTGCCACACCAAGACTGCATTTATAAGGCATATGAATTTAAAATACTTGTAATTTTGATTAGATTTGTACATTATATGTTGCCAGCAGGTAGGTTTTTTTTTTAGTTTACTGTAGTAGATAAAACCGTTAAGTTGGAAGAAAACACAGACTATACACAGAAAAATCTGGAAGATATTACAAAATATTAATTGTGGTTCTTTCTAGGAAGCCAGATGGGTGTAGGTAGTGTGGGCACAAAGCTCACACTTCTGCCTTGCTTGAACTCTGTTTTCAAATAAATATCAAAGTTTTAAATCTCCACAGATATTTTCAACCATGCAAATTTACCCAGATAATTTATTTTACCTTTTAACTTACTTTATCTGAGTAGAGGCTTAAGTAGTTAAAAGGCTAGGAAAGTCTTCTAGTCATTCAGATAGTCACTATTTGCTGCAGATGTTAAGTGCCAAGTGGGTTCTGACTCATAGTGACCCTATATAGGGTTTCTGGGGAGCAGCTGGTAGATTTTAACCACCGACCTTGTGGTTCATACTGACACTGCAGTGTTGTGTGTATCCTACAGCACCACACCAGGGCTCCAGTCACTAGTTAGCATGCATATATTGACACAATAAATTATTCTACAGAAAGGGCTGTGTGAAATTGTCCCTTCCCGGACAACCAAGGTTTCTTAAGCTCTTTCAAAGGCTCTATTTTTAATTTCTGACTTCAGGAACATTGTACACTAAGTTACTCCTAACCACAGAAACACTATCCTTATCACACCTCGCCCCCCAAAAAAACAACCAACCAACCAACCAACCAACAACGTAAAGAGAAAATAATGAAGCTGGAAAGTGAAATAAAAACAGGCAGCAACCAGAAAAAAAAAGAGGGACAGGAAAATGGGGCAACAAAAGAGAAAAAAATAAAATGAAGGGCTTTCTTACCCACAGAACAAAAAAACTGAGTGCCTTCAGGCAGGAGGCTTTGCTGCTGGAGGAGCTAGGTTTGCCCATCCAAGAAGCTAGAACTGAGCAGTTTGGGACAAGGGCTTCCTGACAGAATGGGACACCTCTCAGCACCTACTGGAACCCTCACCCGAGTAGGGCAGGGTCAAGGGGCCACAGGCCAAGGGCCAGAGAGGTCTGACGGCCAGCACTAGTGACTGAGAAGAGGCTGTCTGGATTGGTGAACTGTATTCTGAGCCATTTCTAATCCTGAATTGTAACCAGTCTCTTCCTTCAGAGGCGTCCTGGTGTGGCACTGTAGGATATACACCGCATTGGTAGGTAACCATACGGTTGGCGGTTCAAACCCACCAGTCACTCCTCGGAATCCCTATAAAGGGTCACTATGAGTTGGAACTGACCTGACTGCACTTAACAAAAACAACTTCCTTAATAAGGAGCCCTGGTAGTGTAGTGGATTCCAAGCTTGGCTGCTAACCACCAGGTCAGCAGTTCAAATGTACCAGTCACTCCAAGGGAGACAGATGAGGCTTTCTGCGCCTGTAAAGATTTACAGCCATGGAAACCCTATGCAGGGTTGCTATGAGCTAGAAGTGACTCCACGGTACACCACCACTATATACATAGAGTCCTGGTGTGGAGCCTGCGGGTTAATGCACTGGACTGCAAAGTTGGTTTGAACCGTAAGGTCGGTGGGTCAAGCTCACCAGCCACTCCTCGGAAATCCTATACAGGGTCGCTAATCAGTTGGAACCGGCTCAACAGCATTTAACAGATATATATGGTATATCTGGAGTCAGGATAATGTGCTGGACTGCAAGGTTAGTTTGAACTGCAAGGTTGGCAGTTCAAATCCACCAGCTGCTCCTCGGAAACCCTAGACAGGGTCACTATGGGTCAGAACTGACTTGATGGCACTTAACACACACACACGCTGAAAGCCCCATGGAGCACTGTTTCCAGACACATGGGTTCAGATGAGTCAGAATCAACAAATCGACTCATATAAGCCTATGTGCGTCAGAAGAGAACTGGGCTCCATAGGATTTTCAATGATTGCTTTTTTTGTTTTAACGTTTTCCTTGTGAATTGGGTGAAAGTTTACAGAGAAGGTCATCTGTTTTACATTGAACAGATCATACACACTTCGTTTCATCTCATTGACTGCAATCCCTTCAATATGACGTCACTTAACCCACTTCCTCCCTGGGTTTCTTGTTTCCATTCCTCCTCCTTTCCCAACCTTTCTGAATTTTGTCCCTGGGTAAATGCAGACAATGACTGCAATCTTAAGAAAGTGGATTTTCAGGCCTGCCTTTTGTTGCACTGCTGGGTGGATTTGAACTGTCACCCTTTTGGCTAAATTATATATTATATATTATATATTATTTGTACTTCCCAGGTACGTCCAGAGCATGGTGGTGTCATAAGATAAAAACTAGACTGGGAACCACTAGGTCAGCAGTTTGAGTCCACTAACTGCTCTGCAGGAGAGAGATGAGGGTTTCTGCTCTGCAAAGATTTAGAACCTTGGAAACCCTACGCAGGGTCTCTAAGAGTCAGAACTGACTTGACAGTACTTAAAAACAACCCAGGAATCTATATCTGCATACATGCTGCTGCATATGCAGTTGAGTAGGTTCTGACTCATAACGACCTTGCATAGTTTCTGAGTAATAAATATGTTGCTGTTAGGTGCTGTTAAGTCAATTTCAACTCACAGTGACCCCCTTGTGCCAACAGAGCTGCCCTTTAGAGTAATCTTTATAGAAGCAGATTGCCACATTACCCAAGGAGCCACTGGGGGAGTTTGAACAACCAACCTTTAGTTAGCATTTGAGTGCTTAATAATTATACCCCCAGGGCTCCTTAGTTTTAGAGATAAAATGTAAATAACTGGTAAATCTATGTAAAGAGCACAGGTAAGTTTAAAATTATATCTAAATAAAGCTATCCCAAAGAATTCCTGCATAGCAAACTTACTGCACCTAAATAACAGCAAAGGGTTGACCAAGCAGAGAAGTGGGCTATGGCATAAAACACTGGAACGTGAGGTCGCTTTGAACCACGAGGTCGGCGGTTCAAATTTACCAGCCACTCCTTGAATACCCTATACAAAGTCTTTATGAGTCAGAACCGACTTGCTGGCACATAACGGCACTTACCTTTTATGTAGTCCTGGTGTGGCTCTGTAGAATATTGCACTGGACCATAAGGTCAGTTTGAACTGTAGGGTTGGTGGTTCAAACTCACCAGCCACTCCTTGGAAATCCTGTTCAGGGTTGCTGTGAGTTGGAGTTAACTTGATGACACTTAACATCAATAATTATCCGTTAGGAGTATGGTGGCTCCAAAAAGTAAACACTGGACAGCGAACCACAAGGTCCTCGGTTCGAGTCTGCCAGCCACTCTGTAGGAGAAAGATGAGGCTTTCTGCTCCCATATAGATTTACAGCCTCAGAAACCCTGTACAGGGTTGCTATGAGTCGGAACAGACTCCACGGCACATAACACCACCACCACCACCACAGGGATGTTATGTGTTATGAGTTAGAACCAACTCCATGGCTTTTAGCAACAACAACAATTATCCTTGTCCCTCCCCCCACCCCCACCTCCGTCATAACAACTGGTTTAATCCTTATGTTCACTTCTTTCTTTACATTTTAATGTCATATTTCACTTTCTTGTTTAATTATTTGGTTATGCTTCCAGAATAATGCCAAATATCATTCTTCCTCATAAATTTAATGATAATAATTTTAATGTTTTACCATTAAATGTGGCAATGTGTACTTTTGAGATACAAATAGTTCTCATTCATTCATTCCATCAGTACATTCTGAGTGCCAAATACTCCACTAGATGCTCCAGATACAATAGTGATAAACCCACTCTGAATTTGGCCTTCAGAGCTTACATTCTAATAGGTGGAGAAACAAAAATACAAACGAGCTAATATATAAAATAACTGTAAATTACATTAAGTTATGAAAAGTGAAAGAAGAGAACAAGGGTGCCTGCTTTAGAAAGACTGATGAGCGAAAGGAAGGGAAAGCTGAGAACTAAAAAGAACAAAGAAGAGAAATGTGCCAAGGAGAAGAATACATTCTAGGCATCCAGGACCAAACGGTCTTCCTTGTCCTTGTCCTGTTAGCGCTGTGGATCTAATTAATGTCTTCTTGCTGTAGTTGTGGTGGTTATGTGCCGTTGATTCCGAGTCATAGCGACCCTGTATAGGGTTTCCGAGGAGCGGCTGGTGGGTTTGAACTGATTTTTTTGTCCAATGCTTACCCTACAGCATCACACCAAGACTAGTGTCTTCACAATGTAGATTTAGTTGTTTCTTACCTTTTGTTTTAGCAAGCAATATTAAAATGTCCTCAATGAATATGTGATTTAAACAATTTTGATGAATATTGCTTAGTATTGTTGTTGTTCCGACCCACAGTGACCCTGTATAGGGTTTCCAAGGAACAGCTGGT